GTCGGGTCCCTGACAGGATTCGAACCCACGACCTTACGGTTGCGAGTCCGAGAGCCTAACCACTAGGCCACCGACGCCACAACAACACAACAACAACAACAACAAAAAGCCTGATAAGCAACAAGATAAAAGCAACCAAAAAAGAGAAAGAGAACAAAAAAGAAACACAATGATGAAAATAAGAAGAACAGACAATAGAAAACCATAGATCCATAAAAAGAAAAGTCAGTTGAACAAATTCAGCTTTATTGACTACTGTAAAGAGATAGGGGGTCAGGGAAACATTAACCACCCACGACATCCCCCTGACCCAAGCTCTCTGGCTGGCGACAGAGAGACGTCTCTTTCTTCCCGCGACACCCAAAAGGGTTTAAGCGGCATATAAAAGTAAAAGTAAGAAAAGTAAGTAAAGAGATATGAGGTTTAATTTTTTTAAAACACGTTTACAGGCATTTGCAAATTATATTATATAGAATCCAACTACAGATTAATGCTACAATCTTCTACTGTATAAGAACTATGAGGTTGTTCACTTTCGTCTGACCGCGATTAAAACAAGATAAAAAGAAAACATCCTGTCAAATCTTCTCAGATCTTTGCCTACGAGTCTAAAAGTTGTATAACCAACGGAATCTAAAAGCCTATTCATAAAGGTACTGAGGTTCTGACACGTTTTTTTTGGTAAGCATAAACCGGGTAAAACAATAATAGGGGATTTACAGCATACACCCAAAACATTTTAAAGTTGACATATTTTCCTCAACACCACACTGTAACGTTCGCCTACGAAACACGATTCAAGAGGTGGTGTGATGTAATTTTCAAGACTAACGTTGAGTGCGTGGAGCCTTTTTAGTTTTAGTAAGAGTTTTACGACACTTGCAACACAATACGGTCATATAAGCGCCGTAGAATATATATGATACAAGAGAGAACAAAAAACAAAAAAGAAGGAGAGATAAGGACGATAAATGTTTGATAGGATCAAAGGAACAAACCACACTAGAAAGCCCGCCTACCACCCACTTTAGACAGCCGGGGGATGAAGTCGACATATAAGTTGTTTTTTTTAAATTTTGGCCAGAATGACGTCACATCAAAATGGTTACTCTCTTGGAGGTCTGCCAGAGGTAAAGAGCAGTGACTGAATTTCATGTTTTAGAAGGAGAATCCACCGATAACATCCAAAAGAGACTTCAAAATGTTTACATGGACCAAGCTCTAGATTTTGTCACTGTTTATAGATGGGTCAGACGTTTGAGTAATGAACCAGAAGAAGAGGAAGAGATGTCTTTACGTTTGTCAGACAAGCATCGTCACGAGGGGTCAGTCGGAAAAATCATGGCAATTGTGTTTTGGGACGTTCATAGCGTGCTTCTCACAGATTTTTTCCCTACGAGGAGCAACGTCAATTCAAAACCCCACATTGAAACATTGAAACGACTGAACGCGATCATTCGACGGGTCAGACCAAATTTGATAACGAAAAGAGTGTTTTTTCCACCATAACAATGCCCGCCTGCATTCGAGTATCAGAACAAGGGAGACAATCATCCCATTTATGCGGAAAACACTGCCCCACCCAACTTATTCTCCTGATTTGGTATCTTTTCTATCCTAGAAAAGAACCATTAAGAGGTCAACACTATGGAAACGATGGAGAAATCAAGACGGCTGTGCCCTTATGACCAACCTGCTCAGTTTTACGCAGCTGGTACATTATGTGGACTTAGTAAAAGGTGGACAGTGGCTATTGAACGAAATGGAGACTATGTTGAGAAATAAAAATCTGATCCTCAGATGCTCCCCTTCAATTTGAAGTATGATAGTTGCAAGTGTGTTCTTTTTTCTTTAAGTTATAAACGAACTTGCATTACTTTTCGACTCACCCTGGTACATCGCCTCTCGCCATGTTTTAGCTGCCACGTTTGCAATTGCACTGTTGCCACGGACCGCCGTGCCTCGTTCCCCCTCTCTTCAATTCATTGAAATTTACAGGTCCCATGACAGCTTTTGGAAAATAAAATTCAAAGACTATTCAAATCGCCCGGAGAAGGAAAGTGCATATTATAAAGTGTAGCCGAATTTGCAAGAATGTTGAACCTAACGCAAACAAAGACTCAGTTATCAAAAATTAGTAAACCTGCATGGGTCATTCAAGGAGGATTTTGAACTCTAACGCTAACCCTAATCCTAACCCACATCAAAGATAGTGCATAACAAGATGGTTCACTCAGCCAAAAAATGTGTCCGTGGAAGTCCGCTCATTGCTTTAGATGGCGCTGCAGACAAATTGATACAAGTCATTGTGCAAAAGCTGGAGAGTGTATGTGCGATGGTTTAGGAAAGAATATTTGATAATAAGTTGCCCCACAAATTTTTGACCGCACTATAGTGACACTCATCACACATCCTGCTCGGCAGCTGTGACCATCAATACTAATTTATTTATAATTTTAGAGGCACCAGCCATCCATGTCTAGGTGCTATTTTAGTTCCCTTTAGGCTGTGGCATAGTTGGTAACGAACTAGGCAGACGTATGGGCGAAATAATAATAATAATAATAATAGTAATAATAATAATAATAATAATAATAATAATAATAATAATAATAATAATAATAAATAAAGGATAGCATTTGCATAGCGCAAATTCCCGCTCAGCAGCAAGCTCTATGCACTTTACAATCTATAGTATTTCCCCACAAGATATTATGATACTCTTGTGAAATAACTTCAACTTTCTGGGAAGCACAAGGTACAAGCTGCAATTTTGTAGGCGCTAAATCCCTAACGCTCAGACAAGACCTTTCGCTGTCAATGGCCATGTACTCATTTACCCCAGGGTGAAGTGAGGAACATTCGTGTGTTTAAAGTGCCTTTTCCCAAGTACAAAATGTCGGTCCTGAGGTAAAAAAAAAAAAAGAAGAAATCTAGCATTTGTGATAGGCTCTTCGTCGTTCTCTTAAAAGACTCGAGATCCATTCCGGCATAAGAAAAAAAAAGCAAATCAATCGTTATACGACTTTCCTTACTAGATTTTAATTTTGAATTTGTGCGTTATAAATTACATTTATGGGTAGTTTTTTTTTTCTTTAACCACTTAAGCCATTTCCGTTTTCGCTAAGTTTTTTCTTCAGGAATATTATGTCAAGCAAATTCCTTTTTGTATGAATTATGTCTCTTCCAAAGTACAATATTCCAGAATAATTTTTGTACGAGATATTCAGAAAAAAAGTTATAACGCTTCTTTTTTTGGATCATCTTGAATGTTGTCAATCTGGCAGTGAGTGAAAATCTATCATTAATTGCTTCATTTTCAGACACCCAAGAATGACAAATAACAAAAGGAAACTCGTTTTCCTTCTTTTCGCTGCCCTCGTCAACGTCCTCGTTTTTGGATGGATGGTGTCGTCTCGACTCGTGACCAAGACATGGCAGATCACTTTAATAAGAGAGAGACAAGCGCCTGAGTTGTCAGAAACGCGCTTTTCCTCAACAAACTCCATCTCTGTGCGTCACGTCGACATTGACGTAACCAAATGCCCAGACATTCTCTCCGGAATGACCACAGGTCGTTGGAAGACACGGCCTCTGACCAGGGAGGAGGAAGCCTCCATAGACTCTTATCTGAAAGACGAAAGAGTCGCTTACCGGATCCCGTCAACTTACCAGAGGCCTGATGGGAAATGTGGTAACGTCAATTACCCGAACGCCCCCCAGTACAAACACATGTGGTTTAAAGCTATATGTGACCCCAAGGGGCAAACACCGTGCTGTCTAACAGACAGGTGAGTCTTTTTTTAATTCAACCTTTCCAGTGTTAGTTCTTTTTTCTATCTTCCAGCTCAGCTTTCATGATCGAAAATTTGATTGTTTTGCATCAAGTTGCTGGTTTGTTTTCGTTGGGGTTTTTTTGTTGTTGGAGGGGTTGGGGTGGGGAGGGGGTGTGTGGTTTATTTCCTGATGGCATAGATCAAATTGTAACCCCGGTAATCAAATACCGTGTTGTCTAATCGACAGGTCAGTCCTCATTCATGCAGTGTTTTTCGTGCAATATCATTTTCTAAACTATTCTAGCAGAGATTTCCTCATTGGCAATTTATTGTCCATATTCCGCCAGTTTGCTGGATTTTGTTTCTTCCATTTTTTTCTTTCATTTTTTAGGTTTTTATTTTCTTTTTCTTCTTCTTTTTATTTCCTGTTGGGTAAATAAAAATTCATTGTAACGTAAAATATTAACCTTTGTCTAAATAACAAGAAAGTCCGTTGTTATTTTGCTATTTAAAGTTACCGAAAAAGTTAGCGAAAATGAAAAAAACCCCCACAAAAAATCCCCCCCCCCCAAAAAAAAATAATTTAAAACTTATAAACAATTAAAAAAACATCTCCTACACCACCACCACCAACAAAAGCATCATCATCATCATCATCATCATCATCATCATCATCATCGACAACAACAACAACAACAACAATAAAACACTGCTATCATAATTCCAGATATATTATTCTCATTATCTCCTGGGCAGATGTGTCTCGCTCCCAGAGGACCAGTGCCGCTGCCCCACGTGTTACGATGAGCGTCAGGCCATACACGCAGAGTACGCCAACTGGACATCACATGACCCTAGATGTCAGGTCACACAGTTTAACAATACCCAGGCGTGCGAGGTTTTGCGCGGGAAAACTCTCCATTTCGTGGGGGATTCCTTCATCCGACACGTCTATGCCGCCTTGGTGATCGTGCTCACGGGGAACAAAGTGGATGGTGCCCTGAAGAGAACCGCTCATCCGGGTATGTGTGTTACATGTATTTATTTTTTTATTTATGTATTTATTTGTTTATTTATTTACCGCATTGGCTTTTTGATTTTTTCATGTTATAACGTTGTGTTATTGCTTTGTTATTGTAATATAAGTATTTTGCCTGCTTTATATTTGGTGTTTTAAAAACGTTTGTGCGTTATTGCTTTGTATGTTTTGTATGCCCTCTATGTGTTATTTCATTTATTCGTGTATTTATTGAATGAATGAATGAATGAATGAATGAATGAATGAATGAATGAATGAATGAATGAATGAATGAATGAATTTGCTTATTTACTGGGGGTCGGGAGGGTGGGTGTTTCGGTAGTGGTAAATGTTCTCCGCTCTTGTTAATTGAAAACACATACGCTTTTTTGGCTCCAATTTGTATTCGGGTGGTGGCTCGTTCGTTCTAGAAGTTTTCTTTTTGTATCATCCACCTCTTCTATTCTGCCAGTCCCATACCAACGGAAACAGACATTTTTTTCCCCAGTAATGCACTTCAGTGAAACATTTACCAAACGACTTCTGTAATTTACTACATAAGCCATTCAACTAAACCTGCGTGCATTGTTAAAGCCAGCGATGTCCTTCAAATACTAAGAGACTGTAAATCTGTATACACAATACTACACAGAATATCGTTGTGGGATCTGGATAAAGTAATGGTGGCCTACTTGCCTCTCTTGGTAAAAGGAAACTAAGGACTAAGGCCTGCCATTCAGAACTTCTTTCTCTTTTTAGTATGTACACATGAAGTCCCAACTCACCGCGGGGTCTCGGGATTGTTTTTTGTTTTGTTATTTGGGGGATTTTTGGAGGGGGGGTTCTGGTTGGATTTACGTTTTTCACGAGACATTTTAAACTTCTATTTAATTGGTTTTAAACATATTTTTTTCATTTCTCTTTTTTGAAAAGGGGAGGAGGGGCAAAGGGAGGAGCAAAAATGTACTTTGACCCCATTTTGCTGTCGCATCGTACTGGCGTGAGTCAAAGTTGAGCTGCCCAATTGTCACCATTTATTTTCTTCGGTCCGACGACGTCCCAAACGTTGTTCCAGAGGGCATTTTTTAATGTATACTATAATATGGCTCTCAGATAACACCATCAGACATGTTGTCTGTGAGAAAAAAATCTGTGAAAAGGTCGATGTAATGTGGACTGGCTGTGCTGGAAAGGTACTAGGTCTATCTCTGACCAAAAAAAAATGATTGTCTTATTGTGCTAGGATTTCTGTCTTCTCTCGAAATTTCTTTACAGAATATATGCTATAAAAACCACACAGGTGATGACGTTATCAGATATATGCTTTCTTAATGCAGTACTATAAAAGGCATACTTTAATTCCTATTAGTGGACGAGGAAACTGTAAAATAGGTCAAGTCAAGCGTGGTTCAGCGCCGTTTGTAATTTACACATTCTTTTTCATGTGTTTATATAGAGTGCCCGCTTGAGAAAATAAACGGATTCAGCAGCCTTAATAGCTTGTACCAACCTGTAGAGGATGGTGCACCTTGGACTCTTTTTTTTGGGGGTGAGTGGTTTACGGTGCTCGCAACTGAGCGCAAGACATATTTAACATTTTCAGTTGGTAAGAAATTTTGAATTTTGCTTGGGTGGCGGCTGAAGCCTACTCTTATCGATTTTGGACCACCAAGGGATCTTTAACGTGCGCAACTTGCACATGGGACCTCCGTGAATTATTTGCCTTTGTCCGAGAAGGTTAGGTGTAGATCTTTCCTACCAGAAGATCCGGGGTTTGGCTGAAAGACACCGGTAAGAAGGAGCCAAGATATAGTAGTAGCAAGGCTGCAGAAAGTCAGGAGCCAAGATGAGGTGGCAGAGGAGGTGAGGGAGTGGTAGCAGAAAGTGGAGTCGAAAACAGACGACTGCACATTGTTGGAGAGCAGGGAAAGAAGGTAAAAGAAGGAAGATATTTTGAGAAAAAAATGTTTCCGTCGCTATCCAGATTCGAACCCGGGACCTAATGAATGAGAGGCGGACACCATATTAACCTCTCGATCACGATAACCCCCTTTTGAACTTTGACCTTCTATCAAAGCTGCGAGAAGGGAACCCAGAGAGGAAGCCTGTGCAAATATTCTTATTGGGAGTCACTCTGAAGTGTTTGGTTACCGAGCAAAAAGGACTTGGTAAAACTTTGTCAATTCAGTTCAGTCATGAGGATTCCCTCCCCCCCCCCCCCCCCCCACTTTCCTAATAAAGATGGAAAAGAAAATTGAAAAACGAAAAGAAATACAATTGGATGTAGGAAATGCAACTATTTTGGACCATTGGTCCAATAGCAGACTTTTACGTTAAGTTCCGTGTGTGCACTGGGTGGCTAGAGGGTGTCACTGGTTTATCATACTTTTCACAATTTTTTTTTACCATTTTCTGTATATTCTTTATATCTGTATTCTAAATTGTGCCGAGAGTACAAATGAACACGTATCAGGAAAATATATCTGAAAAAAACAACCTACTGAAAAGTTGTCACAAGATTATACTCAAATAACAGTCAATCATCTCCAATCATCTCTCAACTTTGAGGTATCGAAAAAAAGAGGAAG